AGAGTTGCTTCTCACACATGTGCTTCATTGAGTCAAGTGCTAATCTATCAGAACACAATATCAGGCTTTGGACCATCCGTTCTTGAGGCATCTATTCCAAGCAGTGATCTGCTTGAAACACTGAAGGAAGTGGTTTAGGTCCTTTTTGGTGATATCCCAGAATAAGAGAGGAAAAATTGTTTCACCCAGATCACATGGACCTGTGTCTGCAGAAACAAGATGTCTCTAGCAGTGTCTCGGCAAATACCAGGCTGATATACTCGTGACATCAGGGGCAGATAATAAAGTTGATACCCAAGGATCTCTACATTTGGGTGACCATTTGATCCCTATATATGTGTGACAGAATATCAAATTTCCATATAAAAGTTGTCATCTAGACCTGTAGACCTCAAGGTTTGTCAAGACACATTTTTGTTGCAGCAGTAAACCTTCCCTCTTGAGTAAAATGTCTTCTGCCTCACGGATTATTCTTTTTTACTACCTTATGTTTGCTGTTTCACTTGGTATCAAGGCAACTCTCAGTGGCTGACTTCATGCAATAATGAAACCTCCAGTCTGCTTCAGCTGTTTGTGGGTGACAGGGTAGGGATTTGGTTGACCTGACTGGCAACACTCTCAATATACCATAGTCTCCTCCACTTGGTTTCAGGATTTCTATCCCGTGAGCACCTTGTTGACCCTCAGTCATCCATGCTCTCTATAAGGCACAAAGTAACATTCAGGGGTAGAACCTCTTCTTTAGCTCTAGAAGTCCTAGACTGCAATTACCCTTCCAGAGTTATTGTTGTCCACTTGAGTAGAGATTGTAGACACGGTTCTTTGCTGCAGTGGTGAAAGACCTATTTGCAGGAGAGAACTTCTCCGAGACATTACTACTCTCTTGAATCGTGATTTTCTCCTAAAACCAAACTCCTTTCCTTGTGCATAAGTTCTTCATTTAAAAAATGCTATTTATGTATGTTACGTAAAAACAGAAGTTATGCTATATACGAGAGGGCAAATGAACATAGTAAAGTGCATTTTTCAAAATTAGCAAAACTCTACAAAAACAGTACCTTCACTGATTTCAGATATAAATAAATAACCCTGCTAATGAGTAGAGGTTTGTGCAGGAAATATTTATGGAGTGAAAACTGAAATCTAACTCAACTGTACTAATAAAAAAAAAGACCAAACACAGTAAAAATCGATTTTTATTTCAAACAACAATTACAAGTTGAAAATAATGGACGAGTGCACTAAACATGGTATCGTACTTTTAGAGATATTCTATACAACTTGAGAAAAATGTCTGCAGAAATTATGTAGAAGACTTAACTATCAGCAAGCGCTATGTTATTTAAAATTCACACAAGGTTTTTATGGGTGTACTAGTAAAACTTTTGTTTATTTTGTTCACAGTGTTTCACTAGGTTCTTCTATCTCATCTGATGATGCTAGGTAAACCTGATGAAACGTCGTGAACAAAATAAACAAAAGTTTTACTATGTAGAACCGATAAAAAACTGTTGTGAATATATGTAGGAAACCGTTCTAGACTGAAAGAATATGTCATTATATACAAAGAAACAATGACGTCATCTCTCAGAGCGCATGCGCTATCCATATCGTTGGTTATCCCAGGTGAAAGTATGGATAATTTAACCTCCAGGAATTTCTGAATTTAAAAACGGCGATGTTAATAGAGATGATAATAACATCCATGAGAAGTGTAAAAAATATATATATATATTTAAGTGAGACAGGGTAGATTATAAGACGATTATTTGGTAAATAAGTAAAATTCAGTAATTGATTTGGTTAAAGGGGTAAACATTTTTTCAGAATAAGAAATTATCAGTATCAATGCTACATATTCTTTAAATCCTATATACATTTTAGTTCAGTGTGGTAAAAGACAATTCAAAATACCTTTCATATAATATACACTCCATCACTATAAGAAGTCTAGCCTTGTTCTTTCGATACGCTCTTGTTAATATGAAGAGTGATACTGCCTGAAATCAGTGAGTCACTTCCAGTCCTGCACCATAAACTCAGTCCCGGTTCTAATCTATCTTCGTTTCTTTAAAATAAATAAGTCCATAGCAAAAAAACATAAAGTAGAACCAGGGACTGAAAAACCGACTTTTAGTATAACCCGTGTAACTCAAGAACAAGTGGTGAATTGAAAGATAGGTTAGGCGTCATATTTATTTTCTATTTTTGTTTATGTAATGCTGTGCTTTTCGCACTATCAGGGAAGTGTATCATCAAAAAATAATCATATAACGTAACACCAAACGATATCGTTGATACAGAACCAGAATTTCTGACAGGTGCTTCTACCTTTGGCGTTTGACATAAACTGATAAAAGTAGTAAAGTAACTTATTAATAAGTTTGACACCAAGTAGCTGGACCAATAACGCCGTTTTTATGACTGCTGATAACTATAGATCAATAATAACAATAATCATTCATTTTGATTTAATAACACAGGCCTGCGAGTTTAAACTCCATAAAAGTTGTTTTGGTTTCAATAACGGATATTTCATAATTCAGCTACGCAGATTTCAAAAATATTAATTTTTTTCTATGACGTCATATTTTTTTTTACAAATAGGGAAGAAAAAACTCTTACTTAGATCAAATTATTATTTCGTTTACCACAATAAACATTTCTTTATTATTATGTGCGTTTCTCATGGGTTCTAGAACGATCGATAAGACTCTCAGGTCGCGATTGGTCTAGAGAAATCTATAGCCATGGTTGTCGACATTTTAACCATAACAAAATGTGACCCGAATTCAATGAAAATGATTCACTTACGTAAAAGTACATATAACGTTTCATGAAAAATCTGTACGTGATGGAGAAAAATCGATGTCATTTTCGGATTTTGCGTAGAGGAATTATTGTGGAACATGTAAAAATTTCAAGACAATAAAACCATTGCAGGCCTGTGTAATCGTATATCTAGCTCATTGTAATCACGATTTTGATACTCTTAAAACATTAAGTCTAAATATAGCCATCTGGTGAAAGCAATTTTAATTCGTCAGATTATACAGTTTTGATTATACAGATACCCTGCACAATATATTTAGGAAATAAAAACAGATTATTTCTGAAATATTATAAATTGTATATATACACCTGGAAAAAAGTTAAGC